TAAAGTCCGAAATTTTTTTTTACCATAATGAAGTATATTACATTAGCTTTAATTTAAGATATATATAAAAGTGTCAGACCTTCCGGAACACTTTCAAAATTTATGTTGAAAAATTTCTACTTTTTACATGCATTTTTTAGATTTGAACCCCCCTCGTATATAGGGAAATGGTCCGATTTAAAAAAACAGGATGTCAAATGAAAGATGTATATGAATACTACTCCTCATAAAAAAAATGTACTGATCCAAGTCCGAATTTTTTTTTTTTGCATAATAAAGAACATTACATTAGCTTCAATTTAAGATATATATAAAAGTGTCAGACCTTCCGGAACATTTTTAAAAGTCAAGTTGAATAATTTCAAGTTGAAAAAAATTATATTAATTTGGTTATTTTTAAAAAAATTATGGCAATTTTAAGTAAAAAAAACCCAACCAATACCTTCTCAGCTTCGCATCGAAGCTAAAAGTAAAAAAATTTCGAAAATTAGCGATTTTTAAATTTGTAATTTTTTTGAAGACTTCCCTTATTTACGGAGAACGAAGGAAATTTTTTCATTTTTTAAAGGTTANTTTTGAAAATGTTCCGGAAGGTCTGACACTACTATATATATCTTAAATTAAAGCTAATGTAATATGCTTTATCATGAAAAAAATGGCTACCGAATGCTTTTAGCTTCGATGCGAAGCTGAGAAGGTATTGGTTTTACTAAGATGTGTTTATTTATTTATTTTTTTTGTGTCTGTCACCACTTTTTCTCTGCTCTCACCGGACCGATTTCTTTCAATGANAAAATTAATACCTATTCGCATCGATGCTAAAAGTGAAAGAAAGTGTTGCTGTAATTTGTTAATATGTTAAATAATTAATTAATATCATGTCTAAATAATCAATAACTATGACAATTCAAAAATAAAGTTACTTGTGCAATATTATAATTTGTTTTTGTCTCTTTAATCAAAAGTTGCATATTGTTTATTTTTAGTGTTTAAATTAATTATTAAAAATATAACACACAAAAAAATACACCTTACGACCATTTTGTAGTTTTTTTTCAAAAAATTTTAATAAAATGGTTTTTGTATTTATTTTATTGTTCATATCTATCAAGTTTTATAGTTAACATATTTATGCACTTTCCGATGGCCTACGTGTCAATTGTCATCCGTAAAA